CGGCCCCCCAGGGCGCCTAAATAGAGCGGCCTAGGGGCGTGCCAGCGCTAGTTCGGCCCCTGGGGGCGACCTAGCTCCCAGTCACGCCCCAAGCGCCGGCCCCAGGATGCGGGAAATTTAAACTTGGTCGTTCCCGCTCTCAAAAGACGCCACAAATCCGGCGATCGGACGTAGTCTGGCGTTACAAAAAACAGAGCGCCGCACGCCGCAAGTTCGCGTGCGCAATGATTCACTCGGCGGCGTCGGCTCCAGGCGTTGGCGGAGTCGGCGTGCGCGGGCTCAGCGGTATCAGAGCTGCTTCGGTGCTGGCCTATGTCGGCGCGGCTTCGGCACTGCTGGGCGGCGATGTAGAGGCGTCGTTCGGGCTTGGCGTCCGTGTGGTCGTGGGCGATGGAGCTTGCGTCGTCGGCGTTGCCGTCGGCAGCTCGCTCAGGATGAGGCCGCGCTGCACCAGGTACCACGCCTTGAGCTTCTCGTCGTTGCTCTGGAGCATGTCTGCCCTGCCCATCAGAAAAGCCATGTCGGTGTTCCTCTTCTTCGCGGCGACGTTCGTCTAGAGTAGGTCGAGCTTGATGGCGTTGTTCTTCATCAGCGACTACCACCGCGCCTCGGTTTTCTCTTCGCGTAGGACGGCCCGGGCCTGGGCGTCGGCGAGGCAATGCTCGATGGACTCCTGCACTCGCGCGGTTGCCGCGTCGGCGTTTTTCCCCTTCTTTGCCAATTTGTGGTCGTCCGGCCGCCCCTCTGACGCACCCGGAGTCGTCACGTCTGGCTTGTATGTCTCCTTGGCCTTGTCGAGGGCACGTCGGACTTCCGCCCACTTCTCGCACTTGTCAATGCGCTTGTAGACGTGGAGGTGCTTGAAGTCGGCGTCTTGGTTATCGCCCTGATACATGGCGAACATACGCAACAGCTGCGCGGAGGGACAAACAGTTGGCGGGCGGCAGGCGTAGACGACGAAGATATGCGAGCGAACAGCGTGCGTACCTGATCCTCAACGCTGGCGCCGCTCTCCGGGCGAGCCGCGACCTCCTCGACGATTCCATGCCATTTGTTGCACGCCAACTGGATACGCCCCCAATGGTTCGCCATCGCCTTGGAGCCGCGCTGCATGTAGACGCCTTTGAAGTAGGGGTCGACGAGCTTCCGCTCGTCGAACTCGGCCTTGATACGGTCCCAATACGTCTCCAAGCTCTGGTTCGCGCCGGTGGCCGGGTCAAGGCAGACGACTTTCCATGCTTCGGCGAGGCATTCCTCCTCCTTGGACGTCCACTTGATGCGCGGTTCGCCTGACCTAGCCGCCCGCTTCTTCTTCTTCTGGCGCCCCTTCGTCGGAACAGGAGCCGGCTCCTCCTCCTCCTCCTCCTCCTCCTCCTCCTCCTCGGGTTCCTACGCTTCGTGCGTGTCCTCGCCGTAGACGTAGCCGAGCTCGGCCTCCATGTCGCCGCTGAGATCCACTACATCGTCCTAGGTGGCGAACCCGGGAGACGCGGTGGCCGCGGTCGATCCTGTCGTGATGATGTCGTCCATGTCGGCTCCCGTGTCGTCGGCGTCGCCGAGGTGCGAGAAGGGCAGCGGTCCACGGTAGAGATGGGGCGTCGGTGTGGACGCGTAGGCGGCAGGCAGCGAGTAGTTGTATGGAGGGTACTGCACGCCGACGAAGGCGGGCGAGGGCGTGCGCGTCGTGGGGTGACCATGAGGGAAGGTCACGTTTGGGTTGAACCCACCGTGCGCGTCGCCGTCGGCGTAGCCGGGCGACGATGAACCCCATGGAGATCCGACGCCTTGCTGTCCCCAGGGCGCGTACTGGGCATGGCTGACGACGGGTGGATTCATCCCCGCCTGGTCGACCGATGAGGAAGACGCCGCCGCGCGCGCCGCGTTGTCGCGGGCCTTCTTGGCTATGGTCCTGTTCCGCCGGTCGGCGGTGACTGCTTCGCGTCGCTGAACTTCCACCCTCTACTCGGCGTTCGACAGGCCCGGTGGCTTCGATGGCGGCGCCCTCGGCTTCCTCTGCTTCGGCTGGGCCATGGTGCCAGTCGCGGTTGCCGCCGCACGCGGCATGGCGTACTTCTTCGGCGCCATGGCGGCGACTGGAAGGCGAGCGGGAGGGGGTTTGGCGGGAAAAAGGGAGAGAATGGCGGGAGGAAGGCGAGAGAGCGGGAGAGATGCGAGGGAAATGCGTCAAGAAACAGCGGGAAAAGGCCCTCGGGTCGCCTCCAAGGCGGGCCCACGCGCCTTTTTCGCTTGTGCCGGCTCCCCAAGCGCCCCCCAGGGCGCCGGGTTCGGCCTGGGTCCGCCGGCACCAGTTTTGGCCCGAGCCGGCGAAAAACGGGCTTCTGGGGGCGCGACTGGGGCCTTTTTTGGCGCCGGCGCGGCAAAATCGCCTGGGGAGGGCCTGTTGGGGGCGCGGCTCGAGATGCCCTAAGTCATTATGTTTCATGGCTTGAGGATCTTAATACTGTCAAGACAATTTTTTTTCCTGAACTTAGAAATGTTAGTACTCAAAACGTGCGACCAATGGTGATCGTATTGAACTACGGTCACATCTATAATCGAAAGATGGTAAGATTTTTACTAATTGTCCTTAATTAGTGCATCTTTTGTGTTAGAATAAATCCGAGGCGTTCCGTCGATCTACCGAGGACCAAGCAATCACACGAGGCACGACACCAAGATTTGTTAACGAGGTTCACCGATATGGCTACATCCCCGGGGCATGACTACGGGCGCTCCTCCCCATGACACCGTCACAATACCGCACCCCGGCCGCTCGGGCGCCGGCACACGCCGCCTGCTCCCCCCGCGTGCCCGTGCTATTATGTTGGCATAGGTTACATCGTGTGTCTACCCCTGATATATATGGGAGGCCTAGGATACAAGTGTCCTACTAGGACACAACTCCATATCCTATCTAAACACAATACGACTACAAGTCCAACTGTAACCTACCTTGTACACTATATTCGACACAACTCCAACATTTTGCATACATTATTTTTGAAGCTAAACTTTCATTGCTTAGTATATTAATTACTATACGATGTTCTTCAACAGGGACTTCCGATGACAGTTGTGCCTCAGTGGATCGATACAAAAGGTCGCATGTCAATGGTTAGCTTACGACCAAGATTTCCTACATTGCACATGAGTGCATTCGGGATTTCTGAAAGCGAAGAATGCTTAATAGTGAAAGATTGGAGCAAAATTGTTAACGATCGCAGAGAAGTACTAGGGGGCAGCAAGGAGAAGCGCAACCCAAGATCAGGAGACAGATTCATCTGCATGCTCCAGTATGATGAATCAGGAGAGCTATACATGTTCTATGCTATTCTACCTGAGAGGGAGCAGCAGGAGTAGCTAGTTCATGCTCTTAATTAGTACTTATCCTCTCTCATATCCGTATTGTCCTGAACTTCGATGTTGGTGATGATTATGTTGAACTCGATGATATCTTTGCTTCTGTTACAAAGTGAATGTTTCTTCTTTAAGCTAGCCAGTGTTGGTGATGATTAGATAGCGGCAATGACTATGATGATTAAATAGTGGTAATTAATGACGACTACGATGATTTTTATCTAGCTAGAGTTTATTTATCTATTAATATGTGATGATGATGATGATGACGACGACTACAACTCATTATAACGTAAAACAATCCTAAATTAAATTGATAACACAAATTTAATTGAAAAATAAAAAATAAAATAAAAACCAACAAACATTTAGTACCGGTTGATGTTACCAACCGGTACTAAAGGGCTCCCGGCCCCGGAGCTGGCTCGTGCCACGTGGTTTCCCTTTAGCACCGGTTCGTGCTGAACCGGTACTAAAGGGGGGGCCTTTAGTGCCCATACTTTAGTGCCGGTTACTAAACCGGCACTAAAGGGCCTTATGAATCGGTGCTATTGCCCGGTTCTGCACTAGTGACTACAGAATGACGATGCGACACCGGAGGTGGAGGCGGAGGAGAAGAGCAGCCCGCGGGACATGGCGGTGGTGGCAGATGAGCACAGTGGAGGAGGTGGTGTCCGCTTGATGCGGGGACGGATGAGAAGCCATGGTGGTGATGGCACGAGCGCCGTTCCTGTTGCTATCGCCGGGTGTAAATTGTTGCTGGGAATGGATAAAAGCCGGGGGGCATTTGGGAACGAAATCGTCTCTCTCCCCGCCAGGAGCAAGTCAAAGAGGAGTGAAGGCACGCGAAGAAAAGAGGTCACGCCCTCCATCGCTCCGACCAATCGGTTCCCATCTGGTGACGTGTCAACGAAATCTGCATCCTGATTCGTGCGGGCAATCAGACGACTGTCGTTGCGTCGCGTTGGAATCATTCCCAGCAACCATCAGATGCATAACATTTTCGTTAATTAATTTGATACATGTTCCACACAAATGTAGGCAAGTTTTGGTGGGAATTTTTTGACTGAATCTACGAAGTTACTACTAGAGATAAGTTTTGCTTAAAGTCTGTAAAAAAACTAAAATACAATTAGCATGTGCAATTTGGCAGGTTGCCGTACCTAATGCGGCAACGTCCATGTTAGAGATTGGAGTAGGAATAGTAGGTTCAAGTTAGTTAGTGTCCGTCTAGGACATTACCCGGCCCTGTATATATACACACGTAATACATAGCAACCGTGACAAACAAACGTGAGAATTTTTGGATCAACAACTCTATTTGGTTCTTATTGGGGCTGCGGCACGTTTATGAGAAGAGACGCCCTTGAACGATCAGTATATCTAGGGGAGGATGATTGTTTCACCATTCGGTGTGACATCATGGTCTGCAACCGCCAGGATGCCAGCGGCCATGGAGCTGAGGTGCTCCTACCTGACATGCACCACCATTTCAACAATCTCCTTCACAACAAGGTGGGCACTGATGTGAAGTTTGAGGTCGACGATGAGACATTCGATGCACATCGATGTGTGCTTGCAGCCCGATCTAAAGTCTTCATGGCGCAACTCTTTGGCCCAATGCTGTCATACAAACGGAAGACATGGAAGCAAAAGTTTTCAAGGCCTTGCTTAGCTTTATCTACACAGACTCATTCCCTATGATGGAGTATGACGACATGGATGAGGATGAAATGTCACAACTTATGGAAGAAGGACAAGAAACGGAAGCAATAGAAGATGGAATGTTGCTGCAATGGCTCGGAGACTTGTTTGTAGTGGCTGACAAATATGACGTCCAACGCCTCAAATGCATTTGTGTGAGGCAGTTGTCCAAACACATGGGTGTGCTCTCGGTGATGTCCACTCTTGCTCTAGCCGAGCAACACCACTGCCAGGAATTGAAGGAGGTGTGCTTGAAGTTTATCCAAGTCCAGTCTCCGATGTGCTTGCAAGCAATAATGACAACTAATGGTTGGGATCATGTATACACGACCTACCCCTCCATTTTGAAGGAGCTCATTGCCAAGCTTGCTTCGAACCAGCGGAAGTAACACTCCTATGCTACCCATGTTCCTTAATTAGTTGAGCAATTTCAAAGTGACACTCCTATGCATGTATGTGACCCTCTAGAGAGGTCATAACCCACGTGTCTTTAAGCATGACAACATAGTTGCCTTTGCGTGGGAGCAAAGAGGCAGCCGGTTTGCTGTTATCCACAGCGATGGCTTTAAGCATGACATAAGCTTCTACTCGATGCACTCAGCCAACGATGTTAGCCGTTTGTCGAAGCTCACAACACTCAAGGACAGGCAAGCTGATGCACTGTTCTGGTCTCCCGCGGGGAAGTTTATCGTTCTTGCTGGGCTGAAGGGTTTCAATGGCCAGTTGGAGTTGTACAATGTGGATGATCTTGAGACCATGGGCACAAGAGAGCATCCTATGGCGACTGATGTCATGTGGGATCCCACTGGAAGGTGAGTGAGCTAATCACGTTTGGTGTGGAGCTATACATAACTAATCTTGATTCCTTTCAGATTCGTTGCAACTGCATCACTCGGCCATGAGATGGGAAACGATATTCGAATTTGGTCTTTTACTGGCAAGCAGATTTACAAGGCGTCAAAGGAAGAGTTTTGCCAGGTAGGTAGAAGGGCCTCCATCGATCATTGGTTATTGTCGCTCTGCCGTGGCAATGCTATGCCCTTTATTGGCTGACCGAATGAATAATGACTGTTGCAGTTCCAATGGCGCCCAAGGCCACCTTCACTTGTTACTCCTAAGAAGGAGATGGAAATCTCAACTCAACCTACAGAGAAGGCTGAGTTGCTGGTAAGTGGAAGTAGCTGATTCAGACCATGCATGCAGGATAAGAGCGCGCCGAGAGGAGGAACAAGCTAGTCTATGTCTATGCATGATGAATCCAAAGATGTTGAGGTGGAGTGGAGGTCACCGCTGGGAAACTGTTTGCCTTGAACATGCATGGACTGGATCAGGAGCAAAACCCTCTAGTTTAAACATGGGCAAGCAAACCTGGAGTTATCCTGTGCTCGTCACGTAACAATTCTCTTATCGGAATGTGTGCTAGTAATTGTGATGGTTCATCCTGACTGAGTGCAACTTGTTTATTATGAGCTAACAAAAAATGATTGTTGTGTTTGAACTGTTTTGCTTAACAAGCAAGCAAGCAATGTGGTAGCTGCTGGTAGTAGCTAGTAAGCGACGAAGGATGAGCACCCAAAGAAAGGAAAGAAGAACAGCAACGACTCTTTTTCATGTTTTTGCATACACATCACATACACAAATGCTTTATCCATCACTCCTCCACTACTCTTACGTAGCCACCAAGGAAAGGATTCGGTAATAGAAAATGCAGCTACGTATGGCGAGCTTCCCTTCCCTTCCTTCACAATACTAACTGTACTAACTCCCGTTTCCCACTCACGGCATGTCTTTGACGCGTCCTACGCTTTGTCGAGTATGGGTCTCGGCAGAAAGAACTCGGCGTAGACAGTTTCATCTTTTTTCCAGCTCCCGTCCCATGCATGCATATGCTTTATCCATGACTCCACTATTGTTGCGTAGCTACCAAGGAACGATTCAACAATAGAAAAGGCAGCTACTACTTTATTCCTTTGTGAAAGCGGCATTTCCTTCACACTCGTACCTACTGCGCCACTCCACTGCTAGCTTTCTGATTACTATATATACTTACTCACATTCCCTACTCACGAGTCACGACCGATCCATCATACTTATTTCCTTCCTACTTCCTCCTGAGGTGTGAGGAACAGCAGGATGGCATCCTCCTCAATCGTCCAGGTCGTCAGTGAGTCCCCTCCTCTCTCATCGAGATTGCGCCCTTCCTCCGCGTCGCCAACGAGGTCGAGGCCATCAACCCACGCGTCGCATACCTATGTAAGTAGTATGCTTCCTCTTCTTCTCCCCACACATTCATCCACTGCTTGTTAGTTACAGATTGCTTCTCACGACTCTAATCCATTGCTACTCCATTCACCTGTGTATTCTATTACTCAGTCTCCCACCACTACTCTACTTTCTTGCGTCCATTGTATTGCTTACTACTCTACTTCCTTAAACTAATATAAGAGCGTTTAGAATGTTAATTATGAAAGCAACTTGTATTATTAGGAGGCTAATGCCAACATATATACATATACATGAGGATGCCAAAAGGCTACAAGAGGATGCCAAGAGACTAGAATGCAAAAAGCCAAAAGACATCACTTAATATAACTCTAACATCCCCCCTCAAACTCATGGTGGATCCACAACACTGAGTTTGGAGAGATGAAATCCATGTTGCGCTCTAGTCTGAGCCTTCGTGAAGAAGTCCGCTAGCTGTAACTCAGAAGGCACATACTGAAGAGCAACAACATGATCCTGCACAGCAGCGCGCACATAAGAAGCATCAACACCAATGTGTTTGGTAAGCTCATGCTTCACGGGGTCCCGCGCAATACTGATAGCACATGTGCTGTCTGGCAGGAGGGTGGTAGGTGTAGTAACAGGAACACCAAAATCCTCCAGTAACCATCGTAACCAAGTCACCTCAGCCGTCAGAAGAGCCATAGCTCGCAACTCGGCCTCTGCACTCGAACGAGAAACTGCACTCTGTTTCTTCGTCTTCCAGGAAACGAGGGAACCACCAAGAAAGACACAGTAGGCAGAAAGTGAACGGCGATCCGTAGGATCACTAGCCCACGTAGCATCCGAATAGGCCTAGAGCTGTAACGAGCTGGAACGGAGGAAAAAGAAACGACGAGAGATCGTGCCACGAAGATATCGTAGAACGCGAAGAAGGTGACTATAGTGAACTGAAGTGGGAGCAGAAACAAACTGACTCAGAATATGGACAGGATAGGAGATATCTGGACGAGTGACAGCAAGATACACAAGACTCCCAACAAGATGACGATAACGTGTCGGATCAGACAAGAGCTCACCATTAGAAGCACGAAGGTGAACATTGAGCTCCATAGGAGTCTCAGTAGTGCGCTCATCACTAAGAGCCGCACGAGTAAGAAGACCCTGAATATACTTTTCTTGGGAAATAAAAAAGCCTACAGAGGTGGAGGAAACCTCAATCCCAAGAAAGTAACAAAGAGGACCAAGATCAGACATAAGGAACTGCTCATTAAGACGGGCCTTGACAAAGGCAATGTACTCAGAATCGTCGCCAGTGATGATCATGTCATCGATATATAGAAGAAGAAGAGTGCGACCATGAGCAGAAAGGTGGACAAACAACGCTGGATCGTGATCACTGGGTGAAAAACCAGCAGCAGTGACCACAGAGGCAAAACACTCATGGTCGAGAGAGGCTTATAAGAGCGAGGGGCTTGCTTAAGGCCGTAGAGAGAGCGACGAAGACGACAAACCATGCCATCGGGAACTGAATACCCAGGTGGTGGCTGCATATAAACCTCCTCATGCAACTCACCATTAAGAAAGGCATTTTTAACATCAAGCTGTGACACGGACCAGTGGCGAATAGAGGCCACGGCGAGAAGTGTGCGGACAGTGGTCATATGGGCCACAGGAGCAAATGTCTCATCATAATCATGACCATGCTCCTGCTGAAAGCCGCGAGCCACAAGACGAGCTTTATAACGCTCAAGAGAACCATCAAAGCGAGTCTTAATCTTATAGACCCACTTACAAGTGATGGGACGAACACGGGGAGGAAGAGAAACCAGATCCCATGTGCTGTTGTGCTCAAGTGCGGCAATCTCCTCTGCCATCGCAAACTGCCATTCAGGATGAACAAGAGCATCACGATAAGAGGTAGGCTCAAGTACAACCGAAAGGCCATATCGGCTAGGAGAATAGCGGTCAGGAGGAGGGCAAGGTCGAGCCCGAAGACCATAAGTCGGCTGGGACGAGGAAGACGGTGCACCAGAAGTAGATGGCACGTCAGTAGATTCATCCATAACACGTCGACGATGGGTATAATAAAAAGGAAAAGTGGGATGAGAGGGAACCACCGGAGGTGATGGAGATGGAGAAGACATTGGTGATGAAGGTGGAGTGTCATGCAATAAGGAAGAAGAAAAAACGATAGGAGAAGATGGTGTCAGATCTGCACTAGTGGGACAAGAAGGAGGAGTAGGAATATGAGGCATAGAGGAAGGTGTATCAGGAAACGTGAGAAAAGATATATCCTCTACTGAAAAGGTCGAAGAGGATGGTCGTGGGTAGAATGGATGAGACTCATCAAAAGTCACATCCCTAGAAATACGCATCCGTCGACCGACAGGATCCCAACACCGATAACCCTTATGTTCATCACTGTAGCCTAGAAAAACACACTCAACAGACTGAGCAGTTAGTTTGGTGCGTTCTCAGGGGACAAGGAGAACATAACAAACACAACCAAACAACCGAAGAGCAGAATAATCAGGAGAATAATCAGAAAGATGCTCTAGAGGAATACCTCCCTGTAGAGCAGATGAGGGTTGAATGTTTATGAGATATGTGGCAGTGGAGACAGCTTCAACCCAGAAATGAGGCGTAAGAGAGGCGGCAATCATCATTGCATGAGCTGTCTCAAGAAGGTAACGATGCTTGCGCTCAGCCACGCCATTCTGAGCGTGAGCGCCGGGACATGAGAATTGAGCAAGAGTACCCTGCTCGGCAAGAAAACCACGCAAAATTTTGGAGATATACTCACCAGCAGAATAGCACGAAACACACGAATAGGTGTAGAGAACTGAGTGTGGACCATGGCGGCAAAACGCTTATAAATAGAGAGAACTTCGCTACGACAAGACATGAAGTAAAGCCAAGTGTAGCGAGAGAAATCATCTATAAAAATAATATAGTAGCGATGGCCCCCTTTGGAAGAGAAGGGAGTCAGACCCCACACATCTGAATGTACTAAATCAAAAGGGCGCTGCGACACTGACTCACTAGTAGAATAAGGTAAATGAACTTGTTTACCAAGCCTACAACCCTGGCATTGTAAGGAGACATCTCCTGAGACAGGCCCCAGAAGACCACGACGAACTAAAGACGATAGTCGAGAACCACAAAGGTGACCAAGTCGATGATGCCATTGCTAGAAGGAGCTGGTAGTTGAAGCGGTGAAGGCAGATGGACTGGCGAGTGTGGTGGTAGCGGAAGGAACATTAAGCCAGTCCAACTCCCAAAGCCCCTGAGAATCACAGCGGCGCGGGCCAGCCCCAACCAGAGCCTTCGTGTGACGATCCTGGATAGTGCAAGAATCAACGTCAAGAATGACATGACAACCAGAATCAGTAAGCTGACCCGCAGAAAATAGGTTCATGGTAAGGCGAGGCACATGAGAAACATCTGGAACATAAATGGAAGAAGTAGCAAGAGTGCCTCAGCTCGCAACACGAAGAGGAGTACCATCAGCAGTAAGAACATTAATTGGAAAATCGAGAGATCTACGAGAGGACAAGATAGAAGAATCGGAGGACATATGAAATGAAGCTCCAGAATCCAGAACCCATGAGGATGTACCTGACTGTGTAGATAGTGGTCGCTCAGCACTAGAAGCACCAGTCACAGAGCCTGTAGTACCTGTCGAAGAACCTGAAGCAGCAAGTAGACGCTTGAGCTTCACAATATCTTGCTCAGTCAAGGAGATAGTAGACGACATCGAGGAAGAAGCACGAGTCCCAGAAGAAGAATTGCGCTCCCTATTACGCATATCACGCTTCTTCTTGAAGCAGTCAGACTCGGGGTGACCATCCCTGTTGCAGTAGTCACAGTGAGTACGAGAACAAGAGCGGCCTTCACTACCCGGAGGAATGGGCAGTAACGGCGGAGCACTGGAGCGAGAAGACACTGGTGGAGTAGCACCTCAAGCAGCAAGCACAGAGGGAACCTGAAGCAAACCAACACCACGGAGGCGAGTCTCCTCAGCACGAAGCTCAGAAAGCACCTCAGAAATAGGAACCCGACCACGAGCAAACAACTGAGCATGTCGAGGCTCAAACTCCCCACGGAGCCGTGACAAGAACTCATAGACGCGCTGAAACTCCAAGTCTAACCTCACAGTCTGGCAACACGGGCAAGTGCCACAAACAATAGTGCGAAGGGAGTCAAGCTGGCGCCAGATAGCAGAACTCTGAGTGTAGAACTCATCAATAGTGGAGTCTCCCTGCTGAAGAGCATGCTCCTGACGGACCACAGACAAGTAGAGAGCATTACCAGGGGGCTGATAGCGCTGACGAAAATGAGTCCACATCTCAAAGACAGTACCGAGGCCTATAAACTCAGAAGCAAACTGAGGCAAAACACTGGAAGTGAGAACAGTCGCAGCACGAGCATCATCATCACACCACTGAGTGTAAGCAGCCAGATCGTCACAATAAACAGAAAAAGCATTTGAATAATCCAAGACCTCCTGGTCATAAGCGGCATTCGCATCATCAGCAGCAACCCTGGCTGCAGCCCTATCAGCATCAGAAGCATCTGCGCCAATAGCCGGTGGCGTCGGCGGTGGGGTAGGAGCCACAGGAGGCACTGGGCGTGGAGGATAGGGGACCTCACCGGAAAGAAGACCCCAGAGACGAATACCACACATGTGAATGCGCATAAAGGCAACGAACTCAGCATAATTAGCCCCATCAAATATCACTGGGCAGCGCGGGATGGCAACATAGCCAGATGACGCCAAAGACATGATGCTTTTCTCTGTTTTTTTTTGAGAATAGCAAATGTCACCCAAGACTCAACTGGCCAAAATGAGAGCGGCCAGAACCAGCAACAGATCAATCAGACGAAAAGCCAGCCGAACCAGGACCAAATCAGTTTGACAGAGTCGCGATCTGGAGCAGTAGACACCCGGACAAAAAACAACAGCAGCCACTCACGTGACCACGCGAGCGCCCTGCAGGCAGCCGCGGAAGACAGCAGCGTTGCGAACGGGGCCGGCGGCCGGTAGCAACGGCGCAGATGGGGCGGCGACCGGTGGCGCCGAAGAAGACAACAGTGATGCAGACGAGGCCGGCGGCCGGGCGGGGACGGAGCGGTTGACCTCCGATAGCTGCTGCCTCTGCTCGATCGAGAGATGAACCGACAGGCGGCTCGATCTGGGGCGGATGGATTGGCCTGCAGCAGAGGAGCAGGCTGCAGCGACGGGCCGGTCTGCAGTGACAGAGCCGCGACCTGGAGTTGTAGATGTCCGGACACGAAACAACAGCAGCAACGACGAGGCCGGCGACCGGCAGCCGCGGAAGGCAACAGCACCGCTGACGAGGCCGGCGGCCGGCAGCCGCGAAGGAAGACAAATGGCCGGCGGCGATCTTGGAGGAAACAAGCGGCCATCGGCTCAATCGATCGGCACGAAATCCGATATAGAATCCAACACAGCGATGGATCAGCTAGCTAGCATGGACGTGAAGCGCCTGTAGCTGGAGATGGACAAAGGCAAAAGCAAAATCAGGGGCCAGCAGAAAAGAGAGCGAAGGCGGCCGTGCAGAAGATTGGACCGGAAGCAGCACGAGTTGTGCGTGCGGAAAAAAATCTAAAGCTCTAATACCATGTTATGAAAGCAACTTGTATTATTGGGAGGCTAATGCCAACATATATACACATACATGAGGATGTCAAAAGACTACAAGAGGATGCTAAGAGACTAGAATGCAAAAGGCCAAAAGACATCACTTAATATAGCTCTAACATAGAACACTATTTTAATTATCTAAACGCTCTTATATTAGTTTACAGAGGGAGTACATGTGTACTGTTTTATATTCTTCCTCATGTACGAAAAGTAGTAGTAGTGGTGTGGTGGTGGTGGTGATAGTAGTAGTGTCACTGTCCATGGATTACTGTTAATTAATTCCGAGTGGCCATAATCCCCTCTCTACCCGCACTACAGAGTGCTACAGTACCATTATTCTTGTCTCACCAACAGAATTTACTGAGTATGTCACTTGCGTGCGTGCTAGGTCGATTCCATGGCGGATTCGAGAAGGCGCATCGCCTCGACCCGCTCTCCAATGGCCGTGGTGTCCAGCAGTTCAAGATTGCGCTCCTGCAGAGGCTCGAAAGGGTACATGCAGCCTACTTGATTACATTCCATTTCGGCTCCTTTCCGCGCTGCGTTCTAGTCCCCTGTTCCCAAATATTTGTTTTTCTACACATTTCAAATGGACTACAATATACGGATGTATATAGACATATTTTAAAGCGTAGATTCACTCATTTTGCTTTGTATGTAGTCATTTATTAAAATCTTTAAAAAGACAAATATTTGGGAATGAAGGGAGTACTACTCCCTCCGTTCCAAAATAGATGACTCAATTTTGTATTAACTTTAGTATAAAATTGGGTCATCTATTTTGAAACGGAGGGAGTACTTATTATAGCTTCAAAATCATAGGCGTATGCAATAGTATGTTTCTAATCCAGCAGCAAAACTAGTTGCACAACATGCAACATATATACTCCCTCTGTTCCTAAATATAAGTCTTTCTACAGATTTCAATAGGTAACTACATACAAAGCAAAATGAGTGAATCTACACTCTAAAATATGTCTATATACATCCGTATATTGTAGTCCATTTGAAATGTCTAAAATAGACTTGTATTTAGAAACAGAGGGAGTATACCGTATTAAGAGCTTTACTTTCCATGCAATGCATGTGCTTCCTTCCTCAGGAAAACGACCCCACCTTGAAGGGAAGGGTTGAACAGAGCGATGTTGTCGAAATAAAGAATCTCTACCAGCAATACTACAAGATGTACATCCAGGCGCTCCAGAATGCTGCAGATAAAGCTGAACGGTGAGACAAAGTGACCCATCTCTCTTTCCTAGTGCTAGCTTCTGAGTGCTGTGCTGACTCATTTGCTCAGTGATCAGCTCACAAAGGCTTACCAGACTGCAGTTGTGTTGTTTGAGGTCCTCAAGGCAGTTAATCAGACGGTAGCCAACATTGCAGCCTTTCATTCCTCACAAAAAGAAGCCACTGCTATTACTGATTGATGTTATCTAAAGAAGTGTTGGTTTCACCTCCCTGCTGCGACTGTTGCAGATTCCCAAAACACACAACCACGTCGATCCTGATAGTTCTATCATGCGATGTCCCAAGGTTCACATCCATCCCGATTTCCTTCCCGGGTTCAGCATGAGCTTATCATACATGCTTTGGCAAGATGATGATTACAGTATGGCTTATACTGCTTTTTCATTGTTACATGCAGATCCATGCCGCTTATCACGCCCTTCGTGACACCAGGGGTCTACCATGGCCTAACGACCATGAAAAGAAAGAAGATGCAGATCTTCTTGACTGGCTTCACGCAATGTTTGGGTTTCAGGTTATCACAATTCACAATGCGGCGATTCTTTACCCTTTTCTTTCATATCAATCATATTCATGTCTAACATTTGTTTGTGAGCTCTGATACATGCTCTCTTACTTCAACAATAACTCCGCAGAAAGATAATGTGTCCAATCAAAGAGAACATCTCATACTCCTGATTGCCAGCATACATATGAACAACACCCAAACATGAACAAAGGTATACCACCCAAACATGAACAACACCCAAAGGTATACCACCTTTTCTAACATACACATGTGTGATGTCTGTGCACATGGACCCTTGTGTAATGATATCATTTACTCATTTCCTTTTTGGCAATATTTTCAGTTAGAGGACCATGTGTTGGATACAACACTGAACAAGCTATTCAAGAACTACAAGAGATGGTGCAAGCACCTTGGCCGCATAACCAGCTTATGGTATGATGTTCAACCTCGGGTGGTCCACTAATTAATCCCTTGCTCCACTAATTAGTTGATCATTGTGTTGCTAGGCTGCCGACAATTCAACCAGAAGTACAACAGCGTAAGCTTCTCTATATGGCCCTTTATCTGCTCATATGGGGCAAGGCGGCTAACTTGCGGTTTATGCCAGAGTGTCTTTGCTACCTCTATCATCATGTATGTTCAATTCTTTTCTTTGTCAAATTAAACACATGATCTATTTACTGAGCTAGCAAACTGGGTCTTAAACTCGTAAATGATTTCAAGGTCCTAATTTTATTTCCTGGTTACAATGAAAACGATGCAAAGGCTACTATGCTATTTGGGTATGTCTGGATAGTTGACAAAATGTACCCTAACTATTTTTCTGTTCATCACCAAAAAAATTGGTCTTTGTTTGGATAGCTGTCAATTGTTTGTCATGCCAATCTAACTATAGATATAAGTTCTTCCCAAGGAGATCCTGTAAACACTAATAAAAAAAGTTCTATCGCGGTTCCTATCTTTGCTTGATCCCTTTTCTTCTAGTGATGCTCACATAGTAGTTTAGTCCATTGTAAATGGGTGGAAGGTTGAAATTAGTAGTAGAATATATTCTGTGCCGAATTTTTTTACATACCATTTTTTATTCCCCCTTCATACTTGTTCCCATTTTGCAATTGTGGACATGCTAGTTAATAATTGCTTGATTGTCAAGGCTGTTTCTGTTGGTTGGTTGACTGCCATAGTTGGTAAGTCTAGATAGTTGCCAAAATGTACGTACCCTACCATTTTTTGTTGTCATGACAAAAATTTGGACTTTGTTTGGAAGACCGCCAATTGTTTGGCAAGCCAATACCTTTTGCACACTCTAGTTCACTTTTCTTGCCAACATTATTCAACTCATGAGCAAGCAAAATTGTCTATTAAACCAGCAGTTTCTAATGAATCAATCTGTAGCTTACCTACAAAGTACATGAGTATGACATTAGGTAAAGAGTGGCTTCTATACGTGCATGACTAGTAAGACTGCTGAGGTGAACGTATTTGATAATTACGTCAAAAAAGAAAGGAAGTTTTCGATAATTTAGCTGCATTGTGCGTGATAAAAAAAGTTCTAACAGGATCCCTATCTTTACCTGATCCCTTTTCTTCTATTGATGCTCACTTAGCATTTTAGACCACTCTAAATGGGCTGAAAGGTTGAGGTTATTACATTACATTTCTGTGCCCGCAAAGTTTACATACGATTTATGTTGTATTGCCCTTTCATACTTGTTCCCCTTTAGTAAATGTGTAGTTGTGTTCATGGACATGCTAGTTTTTAAATGCTTGATTGTTAAGGGTTTTTGTTGCCTGATTAACTGCCAGTCTGCCATATCTCTTGTGACGAGATGATTATTGGCAGGTGATGATCATGTTTTTTTATTCCGTTCCAGATGGCTTTTGAATTGTACGGTGTGTTGGCTGGAAATGTGAGCCCATCAACTGGTGAAAATGTTAGACCCTCCTATGGTGCCGAAGAAGAAGCCTTCCTGAAGAAAGTTGTGACTCCAATTTCCAAAATCATACAGATGGTACATGTAACACCCTCGATGTGACTATAGCTCCCACGTGTCGAGGCACGACTTAGAGACATAATCGCATTGAGGGCATATGTCGCAAGTTAGGCAATCTTCACAATATCCCATGTAATATAAATAATAAAGGGGAGATAACATAGTTGGCTTACACTCGCCACGTCAATCAAGTACATAAATAACATTACATTATCCAAACACTCATGGCCCGACTACGGCGCCAAAATAAAAGAGAACCCAACATGCGACACGGTCCCAATCACCCCCAACTGGGCACCACTACTGATCATCAGGAAAGGAAACATAGTATCGTTGAGAGTCCTCGTCGAACTCCCACTTGAGCTCGAGCGCGTCACCTGGAGCGGAATCATCAGGCCCTGCATCTGGTATAATAGTAATCTGTGAGCCACAGGGACTCAGCAATCTCGCACCCTCGCGATCAAGACTATTTAAGCTTATAGGTAAGGCAAGGTAAATATATGTGGAGCTGCAGCAAGCGACTAGCAAATATGATGGCTAACTTATTCGCAAAAGAGAGCGAGAAGAGGAGGCAAAGCGCGAGCGAGAAACTAGAGAACAACCTGCGCAAGCATAACTCCAACTCCGTGTCCACTTCCCGGGCTCCGCCGAGAAGAGGCCATCACGGTAACACACTCAGTTGATTCATTTTAGTTAAGTTAAGGTTCAAGTTATATACAACCGGACATTAAAAATTCCCATCTGCCCATAACCGCGGGCACGGCTTTCGAAAGTTCAAATCTCTGCAGGTGAGTCCCAACTTAGCCCATGACAAGCTCTCACGTTCAACGAAGGAATAGACCTCCTCCCAAGACGTTCCGATCAGACTCGGTATCTCGGTTCTTCAAGACACTTCGACAGGTTAAAACAAGACCAGCAACACCGCCCGAATGTGCCGACAAATCCCGATAGGAGCTGCACATATCTCTTTCTCAGAGCACACTCAGATTGTCCAAACTTCCGGTAGGCCAGCCCAGAGTTGCCCCTGGTAGCCACCGGCGGCTGACAGTTTGGACCAACACTCAGAGGAGCACTGGCCCGGGGGGTTTAAAATAAGATGACCCTCGGGCTCCGGAAACCCAAGGGAAAAGAGGCTAGGTGGCAAATGGTAAAACCAAGGTTGGGCATTGCTGGAAAAGCTTTAATCAAGACGAACTATCAAGGGGTTCCCATTATAGCCCAACCGCGTAAGGAACGCAAAATCCGGGAACATAACACCGATATGACGGAAACTAGGGCGGCAAGAGTGGAACAAAACACTAGGCGAGAGGCCGAGCCTTCCACCCTTTACCAAGTATATAGATGCATTAAGATAACAAGATAATATAATGATATCCCAACAAGTAAATAAATGTTCCAACAAGGAACGGCCTCCAATCTTCACCTGCAACTAGCAACGCTATAAGAGGGGCTGAGCAAAGCGGTAACATAGCCAATCAACGGTTTGCTAGGACATGGTGGGTTAGAGGTTTGACATGGCAATTTGGGAGGCTTGAAAGCAAGTGGTAGGCATCGTAGCATTGGCATAGCAAAAGAGCGAGCAATCTAGCATAGCAAAGATAGTAGTGATTTCGAGGGTATGATCATCTTGCCTGCACAGTTGTCAGAGTTGACTGGATCCTCGAAAACAAACTCAATGGGCTCCTCGTTAGCGAACTCGTCTCCCGGCTCTACCCAAACAAGACAAACAAGCAACAAGGACACAATCAACCACATGCAAGGATCAAACAATATGATGCAAAGATGATATGCTATGCGGGATGCGATGCGGGATGCATATGCAAGATATGACAAAGAAAGCATGAACCTGGCCTCAACTTGGAAATCCAAGTGTGCCACTGGAAATATGAGATGAAATCGCTTGAAAATGATATAAAGAACACCGGAATCGGAGTTACGGTTTGGAAATGGCAAGCGATTCAAATATGACACCGGTCTGCGATTTACAGCAAGTAGGCATCTAAATGCAACGAGATGAACTTGATACAGCACCCAAACATAACAAAAAATACATGGCAGGGATGCATACAAGATGCTTAACAAAAGTCTAGCACTGAGCTACGACCAATTCATCCATTAACAGGTTCAAACAAGCATGGCAAAAATGCATATGGCAAACAGATCTCAGACTTAGTGAAATTAACACTTGTCTGGAATCTCAGATCAGGTAGCACTCTTCGGAGCAACAAAACTACATGCTACAGGACCTGAACATGGCAAAGTAAAGCATGGCATGGAGCTACTCAAAGAGCTTAACAAAAGTCCCTTAGTGACCTTGAGCCAAAATGGATCAGAAAATACAATTGCAAGCATGTGAACAAAGCAAAAACATAATCAGTTTTCAGACTTAGTGAAAACTGACACATGCTGAAACATAACTCAAGTAGGCATGTTTACGAGCTTGATGCACTCACTACGGAGCAAGTCATGATAAGCTAAGCATACATCTATCAAAAACACACAAAATACAGGCTAGACATGGCAATTTACAATAGCATAGCATGCACGGATCAACTACAACATCATTGGCAAAATTGCAAACAAGTTGACAATCTGCCCAGATTCACAAAGTAGCAAAAGTAGAGCTCGATTGACTCAATCTAGGGTGCTCCATAATTTCAAACAAAGGCATGGATGGATAGAGCACTACAAGATTAGCAAAACATCCTTACTGATCATCCTCAAAAGAGGCACAGATCACTAGGAAACAACATGAACATATGGCCATATGAGATAAACAGCTCAAGGACTTAGTGTAATTGCCAAGTCTCTGAAATTAGAATTACCAAGTGCACCACTTTGCAAGCTTGTGCTAGACACCACACTCATCACAAAAATACATGGGTTGCACCTCTGGAAATATGACAAAATCCTTAACAAAACATATGTAGAACTCATGGGCATATCATGCACACAATAATCATGGCAAAAATAACAAAAAGCTAAATAGAGTAGAAGATCTGACAAATATCTCAAGTAGCCCTCTTTTAACAGCATTTCGGGCATCAAGATGAACTCAAATGAAAATAATGCAATGGAATGAAATGATGTACTCTCTGAGATGAACAATTTGATATGCTATATGCGCAAATCGGAGCTACGGATGCAAAGTTACGAGGCTATGAACATGAGCACATGGATCTGGAATTTCGAGGACTTGGACGAATTT